GTCGCCGTCGCCGCCGCCCAGGCGGCGCGTCCCCTCGCCGCGGCGGCGCACGCCGTCGCCGCGCTCGCGTGGATTCCGCGGCAGGTGGGGCCGAGGAGGAGGGGACATGCCCACCCTGAATTCGTCACATTTGTCACTTGATTGCCAGTGGTCGCGCTTGCCTGTTGGGCTTGCTTGGCTTGGAAGTTGCATCACTCGCTGCTCGATTGCTGTTGTTGCGCCCTTATGTTCCGCCGCTTCACCCCTGCACTGGTCGCGCAATGCCGCTGGCCGCCATGCGTGTTTGATGCACCCCGCACCTCTGCTCCCATGCACGGCTCAACACAGCAACATACATCCCACTCTCGAAACACGCAGGGGCTCGCCCCGACTGGAGCCGACCAGCGGCGGGCGCCGCCGCAGCCGGAGCCGCAGCCGCTCGCGCAGCCGTAGCAGGGGCCGCGACGGCGGCTCGGCCCGCGCGCGGCTCGAGCGCGGCGGCGGCGGGGACGAGGGGCGGGGCAAGAGCAGGGGCGGCAGCAGGGAGCGGGGCCGCGACGGCGGCCGCGAGCGTGAGCGCGAGCGTGACCGCCCGCGGAGCCGCAGCCGCAGCAGAGGGAGGGACGGCGGGGACAGGGGACGCGACAAGCTCAAGCGCAGCCGCAGCCGCAGCAGGGGGCGGGACGGCGGCGACAAGGGGCGCGATCGGAGCAAGCGCAGCCGCAGCCGCAGCCGCAGCAGGGGGCGCGACGGCGGCGGCGCCGGCGCCGGCGACAGCAAGCGCCGGCGCGAGAGCGGCGCCGACGCTGGCGCGGCGCGCGTCAACGGCGCGGCGGGGCCGGCGCTGGCGGCAGATGAGGGCGAGGAGGAGGGCGGCCGCGGCGGCGGGGAGGCGCGGGGGCGGGAGGGGGATGGGAAGGAGGATCGCAGCAGCAGGCGGCATAAGGAGGACAGGAAAGACAAGCACAAGCACAAGTCGAAGCACAAGCATAAGGACAAAGACAGGGAGAGGGAGCGGGAGAAGGACAGGGGCCCGCGCGAGGAGCGCGGCGGCGGCGCGGCGGATGGAGGGGCCGGCGAGGGCGGCGCGGCAGAGGCGGGCGCGGCGGAGGCGGGCGCGGCAGCGACGAACGGCGGGGGCGGGAAGGGCGGCGGCAGCGGCGGGGCGGACATGTCGGACGGGTGATTGCGCAAATGCGCCCCCTGGTGTGCCTGAGCTGCAGCGCGCAGCCTGCGCATGCCGCCCTGGGCCTCGTTCGGCTCCACACAGGCGCTTGCGCGCGATGTGGCGCGCGCACGCGCCGCGCGGCGGCAACGGCGGCGGCGGCGGCTGGGCGCGGGCCGCGCATTGCAGCGGCGGCGGCGCAAGGGCCCTTTAGTGTAACGGTCCCCTTCTTCTGCAGGAGCTTGGCGGATTTTTTCAGCGTGGTTGGCTGTCGCAAAGGGTTGTTGAAAGGGGGTCCAGTGCGCAGGGGTGCGGCAGCGGCAAGGCTGGGAGAGGGCGGGGGAGGGCGCTGGCGGATAGCAGCGACAGAGCAAGGCGGCGGCGCGGCAGCCTACCGGGGCACGGCGCACGCACGGCACGCATGACAAAAGCATGGCACACGCATGGTAGGGGAGCATTGTAAGGTCTGTGCAAGGTCGAGGCAAGCCGGCAACTTCAGCAAGGCGTGCTGGGCGGCCCTGCAGCCGGGGCGCCGCGCTGCCGTGCGCCAGCGAGCTCGCAAGCATGCTGGGGCGCCACGTCCCGCGGGGTGTCAGCAGCTGCGCTGCCACGGGGCAGCGAGCCGTGGCAGAAGCAGCTGCCGTTGCTGCACGTGACATGGCACCTGAGGCCCCGCTTCGAAATTCTCACCCCGCCATGATCTTTGAATTTGATGACAGCACACCAACGCTACAAGCATCAAAGCCGGGGCGATGCCTATTTGTTACAAGGGAGGTCCGGCCGCCGCCGAGCTCGCACCGACCCGGCGCGCGCCGCAGCGCCGCGCCCCGCTCGCTCGGCAGGGAGGGTCGACTCGGTCAAACGCCGCCGCCACGGCGCCCGGGCGCCTCGGCCGCCGCCGCCGCGGAGGCTTTGAGCGTCGCCCAGACCCTGCGGCCCAAGCCGCCGACGGCGGGGCCCCCTGGGACGCGAGCAATGCGGGTATGGGGCCAAAAAATGTTGAGGAGGCGTGCAGATCAAATGGAGTAGCCGCCAGACGTGCTCAGGGAATGTGTGTGTAGTTCAGGCGCAGCAGGGGGGCGGGGGCGAACCCCGTCAGCGTGCAGGAACCCGTCCATGCAGCGCACCAGCCACGCCCCGCCCGCGTCGAATGTCATTTATCGGACGCCCGCCCCCAACATGGCACGCGCCTGCTCCCTGCCCCCGGCGGCCCCACCTGCCGCGTACACCCAGGGAATCCAGAGGGGCACCCCCCAGATCTGCGGGTGGGTGTAGTCGTAGAGATCCAACACGTTGATCAGGAATATCTCGGCCGCGGGGCCGCACACAGCGGTGAGCGCGGCCATGAACGCGCCCTGGGGGTGAGGAACGGTCGGGCGGTTACTTGGCTGATGCCGTGGCTGGTGGGTTGGCTTGGGCAGGGAGGCGGCCTTGCGTGTGACCATTGGGCGCCTCAAGTTGAAGTTTTCTCTCAAGCGAACATTTCTCTCAAGCGAACATTTCTCTCAAGCGAACAGAAGAATGCACTTCATGGACGAGCATGGCGTGGCCAGACGAAACCTGCGAAAGCTGGGTGGGCGGCCACCATCACAAACTGTGCCCGGGGCACCAGCCAAAAGCCGCAGCCGCACACGGCCACAGCTAACCTGCCGCGTGCCGTCGAACGCGGCCCACAGCGCGACGGCCGCCGCAAACAGCACCGCGTCCTCCGCCGGCCAGGTCGACCCCGCCGCGCCGCCCAGCAGCGCCTGCAGGGCTGCCGCGGCTGCACCGCCGCCCCCGCCGCCGCCGCTCGGGGCCAGCAGCGCCGCCTGCAGCCATCCGCTGGCCCCATACTGTGTCACGAACAAAGATATGCACGCCAGCACGGCCGGCCACCCCGGGGCTCTGCTAATGCCGCCGCCGCTGCCGCGTGATGCTGCTACTGGGCTGGTGCTGGCTGCGCCTGGCCAGCACCCGCCCGTGTGGAGGCGCCCGTGGCAGGGTCAGCCAGGCAGGGGCGGGGTTGGGGTTGGGGGTTGGTGGAAATTGGGGCTGGGCCAAGTGCCAGGGCTTGTTGCCCGGTGCGCGCTGGTCCCAGCAGCTGGACTTTATTGCTGCAGCAAGCAATAGTCGAAACCAGTCCGCCTTGGGCCGCAGCTGCACATGCTCGCCAGGCGGTCGGCACAGACAAAACACCGCTGATTGCCCTGGCACGGCCTCACCTGCAGCAAGCACGCCGTCGGGGCTCGGCTGTCCCTGCTGCTGCTGCTGCTGCTGCTGCTGCTGCTGCTGCTGCTGGTGCTGCTGGGCTGCCCCCGCTGCCTCCAGCTCGTCAAGCAGGGGGACCCCCACGCCGATGATGACCCCCGCGCCGCCGAACAGCAGCGGCACCCACCAACAACTCTCCAACCCCCACTGAAGGCCGCCGATTTGGACGCTGACTAGGATTGAGGGGTCGTGGTAATGCAGCACGTCGGCCTTGCTGTGCAGGCCATCGCACAGCGGGCCCAGCACGGCGCTCGCGCAGAACAGGGCGGCTGCCTGGCGGGCGATCAAGGCGGCGCTGGCGGCCGCGGGTGTGCCACCGCGGGCGGAGGCAGGTGCAGGCGCAGCGGTGCCTGCGGGCCGGTGCGGTGATCGAGAGGGCAGGGCCAACGGGTGCAAGTCGGGCCGCACAGCGCGATAGGCAGAATCATCAGCAGCATGTCTGGCGGGAGCGGCGCGTATCACTGTGCAGCTCACCGCCGCCGCTGGCTCTGGCCCTGATGCGTGTTAATTGAAGTTTCTTGAACGCAGCAGCATTCCCGGTATCCAGCTGCGGCGGTACTCGCGGTCGCGATCTCAACCGGGACACAGACAACGCCATATGGCATGAATGATGTGTCTGGTTCCCTGAAGGTATAAGTTACACGAGCTCAATCCACCCTGAAAGTAGCCTGATGTGTCGTATGTCGCTGCGCACGTCACCGCGCCGGTGACAAAGTGCGCACAGCCGGTGACCTAGCAAGGCAAACGGCAGACCAATTCAGGCATGGCCGCAAACTTCATGCCTTTACATACAGAAGCTTCAAACACACTGCTGCTTTGGTGCCGATCAGGCAAGAAGCGTTGCCGCCAGGTGTGAAGCGGTGTTGACCGGTGACGACACCGCTTCTCTGGCTGAGTGGCCAACCCAACAGCGCCGTCGCCCAGGCGGCGCGGGTGAAGGGGCGCCAAATGAAGAGATGGGATAATCAGCTGCTGTAATAGAGCTCTGCATGTGGCGTTGATCTAATCAGGGGACGTGGCGACAAGCCAGACATTGACCGACTGTGCTGTGCCGGGCTGTTGGAATGTGCTGTGACAGCTGTCCCACTTGTGCCCCACTGCCCCTGAAAGTGTGTTCGCCAAGCTGTTTTGCAGTGAAGCGAGGCAGGTGCTGGATGCAGGGGCATGCATGCGTGCAAACATCTACTGTTGTGGCGAGGCCACGATCATCCAGCACAGCTGACTCGCAGACGGGCCCATCGCGTTGATTGGCGAGCACTCTCCCGCACGGACCGGCTGCAAATCCGCTGTGCACATACCTAAGAGCACAACATTGGCTGCGTATTGGTCGGGCTGCGCCGTGCCCAAGTCCCCTTGGCTGAGGCCCGCGGAGCGGCTGCTGGTCATGTGCGCCAGGCGGCTGGTGCGGCTCGTGCTTCTTTGACCCTGGGGCCCCGCGATCCCGGCTGCACTGCGCCCCGCAGTTCCTGGATCGCACAGCTTTCCACAGAAATTACAAGCATGCACCAGACACCGCACCCCGCAGTTCATCGAAAACAAGAACACTGCATCCTCAGTCCGCTGGCACGCTGTGGCCGCCGTCGCTGCTAATCATCAGCAAGATGCCCTCGTGCTCGCTGCCGCCGCCGGCCCCCGCGGCCGCCGCCAGCTGGGCGCGCAGCGCGGCTACCTCCTCTGCGTGCCGCCGCGCCATCTCCCGCAACTCCTCCCCCTGCGCCTCCGCCCGTGCCTCCAGCGCCCGCTGCCGCCGCGCCGCCTGCCTCTCGGCCTCGGCGCCCCTCGTCAGCGCGCGCGCCAGCTCCTCCCGCGCGTGCTGCTGCGCGCGGCGCGCGCGGAGCTCCGCCAGCTCAGCGTTCTCCGCAACCGCCCGGTCCTTGTCAGCCAGCGCCTTGCTCGCGCGCGCGGACACATCCTGAAGGCGCGCGCGCGCGCGGTCGCCGCCCTGCAGCCGCAGCAGCAGCTCGCGGCGCTCGAGCGCGCGCGCGGCGCGGGCGTCGAGCAGACGCGCCTGCGCGGCTTCCAGCTGCAGCTGCAGGGCAGCGACCTCGCCCTGCAGTGCGGTCTGCTCCTCACAGGCGGCCGCATCGTCATCGCTGGAGCAATGCCCATCGGACGACGCGTCCCAGTCAGCGTGCCGCTCGGGCGGCCCCGCGGCCGCGGCCGAGCCGCCGCGTGCGGGCCGCGGAAGGGCTGGCGCTGTCGCCTCGCCAAGCCCGCTGCCGTCGCGGGAGCGCGCCGCGGGGGCCGGTAAGGCGGGCAGCGCAAGTGAGTGCAGCAGTGCTGTGCTGTGCGCGTCGCAGGACTTGGGCAAAGGGGGCGCGGCGCCTGTGAGGGCGTCCTCATCGTCAATCTGCGCCTGCTCGGTCGGACGTATGCGGATGACGATTCAGCAGCATGGATGTACCTGTGCCATGGGGCGGCGGTCAAGCTGCCCAGCACGCAGCGGCGTTGCAGCTGCTGCATGTGACGTGTTGCAGGCGGGCGATTGCAGCGTAGCACGAGCAGCGTGCCATCCTACCCTCGCTCGACAGCGCACACACCCAATCAAAGTCGCCCTTGAGGTAGAGATCAACGGTACGTTTTGCTAGAAGCTCGAACTTCTTGCGCTGAGCGGGCGATGCGCGAAACTGCTCGGCCATGGGCGTAACTTGCAGAAGTGGCAGCGTTAGGTGGATGATTTTGTTACTTATTTTGTAGTTTTTTGTTTCGGGTGCCCCGTCATAAGGTTAGGTCTTGCGTTGTGCTGAGTGCCGGTGCCGAGTGCCCACCGCAAGTGTTGTTGGCTGGGTGGGGGTGGGTCTGCAAGCCATCGCAATGGTTTGCGCAATTATCCGAAATACACTCAGTATGAATGATGTAGCTCTGGCTGTCTTTCTGCAGTGGTGAGTAGCGGTCGCCCCGCGTATGGCGCATGGTCAAACATGACAGTCAAACATGGTGAGTCGCAGACACACAGCAGAGATGACGTGGCTGACCGGGGCAAGCGCATTTATGACGAACAACACGACGTGAGGCTTAGGGCAATGGCTGGACACCTCAGAAATGCAAGCATGCAGCGAGTCACCTTCTCATGCTGTTAATTGATCCCCCCTGCGCTCTCCGCATGCTGGGCAAGCAGAGCCGCCATGTGTCGCATGTTTGATGGCCTTTGACAAGCTAATATGCATTAACAAGTTTGCATGAGCCATGTCTGGTGTGCCAGCATGCACCTACAGGCATGATGTGCAGCCTTGCGCGGTTGGTGAGACTTGCATGATGCACGCAAACTCATGCAGAAGGCCAGCAGACACATACTCTGTGTAAATAAGGTATACATCACATGCTCACATTGTCCCGTGCACCCATGCAGCAGAGAGAATGCTGCCAGCGCCAGCACATGCAAATCCAATCCTCACGAGCCGCGCCACCACGCCCAGAGGGCGGCCCCCCACCCCCCGCCACCGCCGCCGCCCTCGCGCCCCTGCGCCGCCGCCATGCCCGCCGCCACGACCCCGCCGGGCCGCCGCGGCGCGCGCGCCCCGGCCTCCGCCAGCAAGCCCTCCAGGACCCTGACGTGCTCCAGCAGGCGGTCCCGCTGCGCCTCCATGGCCGCGCGCGCCTGGTGCGCCGCGCGCGATGCGGCGAGCGCCGCGCGGAGCTCGCCGACCTCGTCCTGCAGCTTCTGCGCCTCATAGTCTGCCCAGCCCCGCCGCCGGCTGGCGTCTGCTAACTCCCCCCGAAGCACTGACAGCTCGACCCCCTGGGTGTAGTAATCCATCGCCCGCTGCCGCGCAATCGTCTCCGAGATCTCGGACTCCTCCAGCTTCTGCTTGGTGTCCGCCAGCTGGCAGGCTAGGGCCCGGTTCTGCGCCTTGAGGGCGGTGACTTGCGCGAGCAGCTGCTGGATCCGCCACAGCTCGGCGGAGCGGCGGCGCTCGTGCCGGAGCGTGTCATCCCCTGTGCCCTGTCCAGCGTCCTAAAGCGTAGGTCGGGAAACTGTATATCAATATCTCCATCATGCGCATGCCACCACGCCGGCCGCGGTGTGAAGGTGCTGTCAGGTGGACAGCAACGACCGCGTGCTGTGCATGCAATGCAGCTTAGCATGCCCCATGGGGTCCGCAGGGAGCCGCTGCCACACCTCGGCAATCTCGGGACTGATGTATACACATCCATGGTGCAGTTTTGAGTCTGTTGTGGAATCCACGGGGACATGCTGCGCGTCCACCATGCTCTGCACTTCCAACATCTCAAAAAACCGAAGCACACCGCCCCTTGACGATATGATATGGAATTCAAATAGCGCACAATGGCAGCGAAATCCTCAGCAGAGACTTTCTTCGCCTGGGGGTCACGGCATGGCAACTTCATTCTTCGCGCCGTGATAATTGGCATCAGCACGCTGGCTGGAGCCATGTACCTGACGGGGTATGTCTATGATCTTGAAACGGAGCGCCGACTGCGCGACAAGGATCTGGCGCATCAGCGCGAGCTGCACGACAGGGACGCGGCATTTGAGCGCGAGCTGCGCGACAGGTATCCGGCACGGCAGCGCGAGGTTCTCGAAAGAGACCTTGAGCACGAGCGCGAGCTGCGCATGGCGCGGCAGCAGAACGCAGAACTCCACTTGAAGGCCCAGCTCTTTGATGCGATCCACCGTGAGGGCTACGAGGCCGCGGCGCGCTTACTGCAGAGCATCCAGGCGGCGTCCACGCGTCCCCCCACAGACTAGGTGGTGGGGAAGCGCTAGATTGTTCCGTTTTCCCTTTACCTCTCCTCTCTGTTCTTACCATATCCCTCTCGTGAGCCCCATCGCAATTCACACCCACCAAAAATCCCCACAGCAGAAACAAAGAAGCGCTCGGCCTGTACGCCGGGCAGCGCCAACATCGCCCCCAGCGAGGTCTAAACCCTGAACAGCAAAACCTCCCCCAGCAACCATAGGACCACTGTGGAATCCCTTGGGGGTGTGTGCGGGCGCCTGGGCGGCATCAGGCGCGCGTCCGGCCACCCCCTGGACAACCAGGAGTGGCTAGAGCGCAGGCTTGATGTCCCCCGCCGGGTCATGGACCGGCTGGGCGGCAACGCTTTGTCCGTGATGTGCGTGTGTTTTCGCGATTGCATGTTCATGATACTGTGTATCTGGCCCATTTGCATGCTGCGAGACCGCATGGAGGGCTTCAAGAGCAAAACACCATGCGTCCATGAATTCGATTCAAAATTGTTACATGATACCGCGGTTGCCCGCTTCTGGAGCCATCCAGGCTCATGGGATTGATATTTGAAGCATCAGCGTAGGGAACATGCGTGGAGTGGTGCAAAACTCATCGTGACACTGCCGCACAGGGGCGTCGGTGTGCTTTCAGACCTGCCACACCACAAAGTTGTGTTGAATCAGATTGGATTGCCTAGAAATGCAGCACTTGCGCACTCACACAGCAAAAACTATACAGTAAAACCCGGTCAAACGACGGTCAACCACTCACAAAAGCCGTCACAAAATAACAAGGAGCAAGGCGCCAATGTGACAAGTGTGGGTCAGGCAAGCAAAACAGCAAAATTGGGCAAACAAGCGCTCCGTTTTCAGCGCTGCGCCATTCGGTCAGCAGCCCCACACCTTCACAACGCCATCCACCCCGGCGGTCAACACGCACGTTCCCTTCGGGTGCGCGGCGACGCCGCACACGGGGCCGCGGTGGGCCTGAAAGCTGAGCAGAAGCTGCGCATCCACAAGCTCCCAGTCGCACAGGCAGCCTTGGGGTTAGGGGCAATCGAGGGAAGCATTGCAGGGTTGTTTTGTGTCTGGCTGGGGGTGACAATAAAGGGAGACTGTACCATGGCTGCAGGTGTGATTGCTCCCCTCGTCGAGCAAGGTAATCTACAATTCCGCCCAACAGCCGTGCCCAGGACTCGAATGCCAGTGCAGCCATACAGGTCTGGCAGAAACATTGGCAAGGTTTAGTTGGCGAGTTGATCTGTTCACATCCATGCGAAAACACGATGCAACCGCAGCCATGCCAGCAATCCAACGCTGCCACGCTGCCGAGGCGATTCAGGGCGCCCGCGCCAAGCAACAGCAGCGCGGCGCGCGCGCACCATCCTTGCTGGCGCCGACCACGAAAGCGTCACCGGGCATCAGTGCGCACCCCATCTTGACGCCAGTGTGGTGTGGCCCTGGTAGCTGGCCAGCAGCTCACCTGGCGGTTGGGACGCGGACGCATGTCGAGAGGCAGCAGGTTGCATTTGGAGTCGCGGTCACGAGCTGCGCCATGTTTTATGAAAAATAGGATTGATTAAATGCATCGGGCCGGCTGTCCATTCCTGGCAGCAGGGCGCAGATGTTGACAGGGTGAAAGCGGCGCGCCGGCCGAGCTGCAATCCGTGCAGACCGCCTGCGCTGGCGCGGCCAAGCAAGGGGCGTCCTACACGCCAGGCCAGCAGATGCAGGGGTGGGCCTCCCCTTTGCCTGCGCCTCAACCCCCCTTGCCCGCGCCCCAGCCCCCCTTGTCCGCGCCCCGGCCCCGCACCTGTCGCCTTGCCCGCCCCCTCAACCCCCCTTGCCCGCGCCCCAACCCTCTTGTCCGCGCCCCAACCCCCTTGTCCGCGCCCCAACCCTACTTGACCGCGCCCCAGCACCTGTGCCCCGCACCTGTCGCCTTGTTTATGACCCTCAGCGCGCTGCCAGGCACGCCGCCAGCAGGCACAGCCCGTCACCGGTGAACACCGCCGACGTCACCGGGTGACGCAAGTCGTCACAGTACGCGTGGCCGACGCGGGCGTCGAGCGCCGCAGCGTGCCGTCCACGGAGCCCCCCACGATCTTGTGGCCGGTGGCCGCGACGGATGTGACGTCATCCTGTAGCAGCAATGAAAAAGTTTGAGGGTGGGTTTGAGAAGGGACGCTGTTGGGGGCTGTAGGTTGCTTCATGCAGGATTTGTGTTGGGTCGTTGAAGGGTCTGATGCTTTGATAAAGGCGGAAGAGGCGCCACACATGGGTTGACGCCGCAGCGCTTCATCTCAGATGGAACGGGTGTGAACCGAAGAAGGGCTTTCGACGCCATCCCCCTCTGTGGTGCCGCTCAGCAGAGCGGCGTGCTGCCGCGCAACTGCATCCCGGGCAGTTTCACAGGCGCAGTCGGGTACGGAAGGGCCGCGAGTCAATCAGGCTCGGCGCCGGCCGCGGTTGCGCCGAGCGCCAGCCCCGGCCGCCGCACCTTGAACGCGCGCATGGTCTACACCGGCTCGGCGCTGCGGCTCTTGCGGTCCCACACCCGCACGCACTGGTCGTAGCGCCGGTGACCAATACATCATCAGACGCAGCGTGGACGGCCTTGAGCGGTTGGATTTAGGGTTGAGGGTTGAGGGTTGAGGGTTAGGCTGCGGGGGGGGGGCGGGGGGCATAAGTTTTGCCAGAGGTGTCAGCTGGAGCGTCGGCGAAAGGTGTCGGCGGG